TCGTACATGCATGGCCTCTACGCTATTGTTTGTTTCTTTTCTTTTCGGAATGCCGTTCGTCTTCGTGATTTAATAATGTTAAAAGCTCTATAATGGAAAAATAAACACAATTGTGACAGAGTTATGAGCTTACACGGCAAAGCGTTGCCGAATCGCAGGATATCCAATAATTTTTCTAAGGACGGTAAATAGTGAGGAATTATTTGAATTATTTGAGTGCGAAGTCTGAACGATACATTTCCTACTATAACTTTAATTTTCGTGGGTTATTTTTGATAAAAAATTTTGAATTTTGGTGTGCAGTGAGTAGTGAGTGCATTTGAGTTTTATGGGAAGTTTGGTGGAGCTGGCTCATGTGGTTACCGAGATTTTCTGCTTTCATTAATTACCGATTATTGGCTGATAGATAAACTCGTTTTATCAGTAAGTTTTTTCGTTCCTTTCTTTTTGATGTCAATTAAATTCTAACTACCAATTACCTATTGTTTCCCAATTGTTCTTTTCCGTGGTCTACCCTTGTTTGTCAAGTTTGTCAGCCACCATAAACGACCCTATAGGTGTGAAGATAAGTGTCCCTGTCAGTTCGTTACTCTGCTGTTATTATAGTTTTTCTATTTTTTTTACGTAAATCATTTTTTCTACCTCACTATGGTTAATTATTGTAATATATGCAATTCCGCAATTACGCCTTCTACCCCATCGATTAGATGTGCTAAGTGTAAAAAGTACTGCCATTCCAAATGTACTGGTTTAGACATTAATTCCCTTGCTTCTTGTCCAGAATGGACCTGTCATAGTTGTTTTACATCTTTACCTGTACCTGACGGCTCGTTAACTTTTTCATCAATTGAGAGATTGATTGAGCAACAGTTTATTAAACTAAAAGTTGATCTAACACATGAATTATCACAAATTATCAATGATAAATTTCAGCAAATTAATGACAGAGTCTTACTCATTGAAAACAGTGTACACTCTTTACAATCTGATGTTAAAACACTTCAAGACTCTTTAAAAAAGACAGAAGTTTCTCTCAATGTTAAGAACACCAATGCTGAAGTACTTACTATGGAAGATGTTATTAGTGAGGTTAATGAGATTAAACGTAAAGAAAAAAGCCTTGTTGTTTTTAATCTAAATGAATCAGAATCTGAAACTGATGATTTCAATAAAATTCATGACATTTTTAGGCATTTGAGTCTTGATATATGTAAGTGATCATATTTTGGAAGTATATAGATTAGGTAAAAATAAAGTTGAACATAGAAATAGACCCTTAAAAGTTACAATGAACTCTTCAGGAGATGTTGCTATGATTTTGAGTCAGATCAACAGTTAGAATTAAGTTATGTTAAGTTCTATTACCAAAATGTTCGTGGTTTAAAAACAAAGACTTCTGTATTTTATAAAAATGTTCTTGCATGTGATGATTTTGATGTAATCTTGCTTACTGAAACCTGGGCTGCTGATGATCTGTTGAGTTCTGAATTATTTCCATCTGCATATGATGTTTTCAGATTTGATCGTTGTAATGGTATTGGTGGTGGAGTTATTATAGCTGTTAAATCTGAATTTAATTGTAGTTCAATTAAATTTGATAATGATAATCTGCTTCGTGAATATAAAATTGATTTTGTAATTTTAAAGCTGCAATTGAATTTTAAATCCATCTCTGTTGGCGTTGTTTATGTTCCACCATCGACGTCATCTTTTGTATATGACCATTTTCTTCATAAGTTGGAAATGGCTGAGTTGTTTGATGACAGTTTTCTTTTTGCTGGTGATTTTAATGTGCGTTGTATTGACGATGTAACTTGTTCAAAAGCCAGAAGTCTTAATAATTTTATAAACTCTGTTAATGCTATCCAAAATAATGATGTAAAAAATATTAATAATAGGTCATTAGATTTAGTTCTCTGTTCACAAAATATCTCCGCTAAGTTAAATCGCTCTGATATTGCATTGGTTCAAGAAGATGTTCATCATCCGGCCATTGTGTTTGATATTAGTTATCAAACTTACATCCATGTGAATTTTAAGAATGCTGCATCACGGACATATAATTTTAAAGCGGCTGATTTCAATAAATTGTATAATCTTATTCTAAATACGAACTGGGAACCAGTATTGATACATGATGAGGTTAATATGGCTTGTGAAACATTCTATAATTTACTCTTTTCCCATTTAGACTGTACCGTTCCGTTATGTTTTCCGAAAAAATCCTCGTTTCCTGTATGGGTGTCATCTAAGACTAAGCGATTAATCAGAATTAAAAAACATTACTTGAAAATGTCACGTAGGCATAGAGTTGATATTTTTGTTGGAAAATTTAAATACTATAGAAAATTAGTTAAAACTAGTCTAAATAATGATTATGATGCATACATTGCATCCATATCTCATTGCATTGAAGAAGATCCTGGCAAATTGTGGTCATTTATTCATAAACTTAAGGGGCAAACACGCATTCCTGGTTGTATGATAGGTGTAAATAATGAATTGCTTAATACTCCTGCTGATATTAATAATGGTTTTGCGACACAATTTGAATCTGTGTATCAGGATGACTTGGGGAACAACTGCGAATTTGACAAATACTGTGTAAATGACACCTGCATTATAAAAAACTTTGACGAGTATGAAATTCTAGAGGCTGTCGGTCGTCTAAAAGACAGTTGTGTTATGGGACCTGACTCAATACCAGCGTTTTTAGTTAGGGACTGTAGAAATGTTCTTTGTCAACCATTATTACATATTTATAATTTAATAATTCGTCACGAAGTTTTTCCCGATTGTTGGAAACAATCACGTATTACGCCGGTTTTTAAATCTGGAAATAAAAATGAGATAAAAAATTATCGACCGATATCTCTCATTTGCAATTTTGCCAAAGTCTTCGAAATTTTAATTTACAAATCAATCTATCCTCATGTTAGTCATCAGTTGTCGCCAAAACAACATGGTTTTCTCAAAGGAAAGTCAACTGTTACAAATCTTTGTTCCTTTACTACCTTTGTTTCGTGTGTGTTGGAAAATAGAATGCAAGTTGACGCAGTTTATTGTGATTTTTCTAAAGCTTTTGACATGGTTCAACATTCGTTGCTTTTGCAAAAGTTGCATCGCTTTGGATTATCTGATGCTATAATACAAATTCTTCGTAGTTATCTGACAGGTCGTGTGAATTATGTGGAATATCAGGGTATCAAATCTCGGTTATTTCAAAGCAAAAGTGGTGTTCCTCAGGGTTCAGTACTTGGTCCGTTGCTGTTCCTACTTTTCATTGATGATATTATGAAATACTTCCTATCAGAATACTTATTCTACGCAGATGATTCAAAGCTATATCATGTCATAAAAACTGTCTCAGACTGTGAGACATTGCAGTCTGATCTGCAGCGCTTATTTCAATGGTGTACCCTCAACCGCCTCCAACTGAATAAAGACAAGTGCACGGTGATGACATATACTAGGAAAAATACTCCAATTATCAATGATTATAATATTGATGGTCAGATTCTTAAGCGTTGTACTACATTCAAGGATCTAGGTATCACCTTTGATAGCAAACTGACCTTTAATGCTCATATTGAAATATTGTGTTTACAGTGTTATAAATTATTGGGTTTTCTTTTTAGAAATACTAGGGATTTTGACAATAGGGTGCTTGTTAGATTTTTTAATGCTTTCATTCGAAGCAAATTAGAATATTGTTCTTGTGTTTGGAATCCGTATTATGATAAATATATACATATGATTGAAGCTGTACAACGTAAATTCTTAAAAACCCTGTATTATAGAAAACATAAAACTTTTCTGGAACATGGATATGCTTATCAAAATCTGTTGGATGAATTTTTATACCAGTCACTGCATGATCGTAGGATATTGTCTGAGGTTATTTTTCTCATTAAACTTATACAAGGTAAAATTTCTGATGGGTACTTACTGGAATTTGTAAATTTCTTAGTGCCCCGTGTGAATTGTAGGGCTCCTAAGTTATTTTATTTACCTACGGCCTCGACGCGCCATTATGCATAATCACCGATTATTTCTATGTGTAGAAGAACTGATCAGTTTTGCGCTGAAATTGATATTTTTACAGTTAGTTTAGATAGAATAAAAAAATATATTATTTCCAGGTTTTAGTTTAGGGATTTTCGTTTTCTTTTTCTTTTTTTATTTGTTTAGCTTCGCGTTTCTTTCTTTCTTTTTTTGCTGTAATATTATCCTGTAATGAGTTGTAATAACTGTTGGATAATAAAGGATTATTTATTTATTTATTTATTTAAGTATTACTTACAATTTTAATAGAATGACCATTTTTGTATTGTATTGGTAATAGCGTGTTAATATTATTATCTATGTTAATCACATCATCATAGAATTGTTTCTTCATCAAATCAAGACGGAGTCAACCTATTTTCTTGAAAATAGAGAATGTGCCCGGCGATATTTAACAATGATAAAATAATAATCGAAATTTACGTTCGCATGGCACAGGGATTGGGGGGTGCTACTGACGCCGGTTGATCCGAAAAGAATCGAGGAATTTTTGTGACTTTCTCTAGTTGGGTCCTCAAGAAACTCCAGATGTGCAGTTGTCACGTACTTAACAATAACACTAAAACTGCACAACAAAAATGTACCAATTTTTTCCTTGTGTTTAGTGTGGAATCTCCATGGACATTTTTATTAAATTAAGTCCAAGATCTGTGATAAATTTTTAAGTCTCTCGTCTCAATAAACCAACTGATTCTCAACCGATTATCTCCCTCAGCCTGCGCTTTTGTTAAACATCTAAGTTGTAGATATGCTGCCGATACATTATAGATCTGCCTCCACGAAAACTTCTCGATATTATAAAATATTGCGGTTCAGATGTGTACATGCGGGCTTTAAATCATGCATGGCAGCCCCAATATTCATCGATCGTCGCTTCATATCAACTCGGAATTTTTCACGTTTGTACATGTACGCCTTTTTTGTGTCCCACTCACCTGTTTTCGACTCTTCTAATCCCTGGCCTCCGTTCGTCCACCTGGAATCAAAGCAACCACATCAAGAGAACGAAATGCTTGACGTTTTATGCAATCAAACGGTCCGCACAAAACCGGAAAATTATACATCAAACCCCAAAACCTCCACCAGACGCAATTATCTCACAGCTGATTTCGTCCGATTTAAATTTCGAACGTTAGTCGACGCCATCATCGGTAACGGACATAATTCGGCGGCTGCTGGGAGTGCTTAAGGATGAATTGTGGAGGAAGATGCTGGTTTAGGGGTTGGTGTGATGGGGTTTTAATTTTGGTGATTTCAGGCGGGCGAATCTGATGGATCTGAGGAAAGTGTCGACGGTGGAGTGAAGGCTTTGTTTCAGTTTGTAACGCGTGAATTGAAATGTGCTGAAAAATTGGCGGCAAATTGGAAACATCATTAGATGCATGACGAAGGTAGGAAAAACTTTTATCTAAATTATTTAATAGATATGTGTAAAAGAGGGATAGTATATTTTGATAATTATAAAAAAAATATATATGGTGTGATTTCCGTTTTAATGTTCCATTTTAAATAACAACTGTTTTCAATCTGGGGTACGATATCATCACAAAAAGTATTAATGGTGGTTGTTGGTAAACTTTTATAAAAATAAGTGACTTTTAAATGTACTGTTTAAAATGACAGTTCTGATACGCACCTACACAATTCGCCATGATTAATTGATACGCACTAATTTTCTCACTTTTTCTTCTATTTGTGGTGATTATAATATATAAGTATTTATTATACACAGTTAGTGCCATCGAAAAGTGCGTTTTTCTTCAAATATTGTTCAAAATTTTATTTGTTAAACACCTAAGTCGGTTCATACGTTTATTTTTCCAGCCATCCATTCCCATTGAATCCAACATGTGACTTCTCCTTTAATGAAATTTCGAAATCCCGTGTCGGTGGAGCCGTATAAAAGAAGTCTTAATTAACGAGTCCATTGTTCTGGCGCAAAGCCGGCTCTTGGAAGTGCGGGAGCTCGTCACGCTAACTTTTATGAAATTTAAATCCAAAGGAGAAGAAGGATCCCGGCATCCCTCCGGCTACGGATGTGCGATGCATCTTACGTATGTGAACGGACCATAAGACGATATTTTCCGCTCGAGATGGCGCTGCTGGCCGCAGCCAACAATTCTACTTAATTTAAGCGTAAACCATAAAGTTCTTGTTCACGTGGACGAGCCATTGCGCGGCTGATGGATGACCATTCTTTGACGCTACATTCGTCATTGGGACGACGATCGATGCGGGTGGCTTCCTTTCGACACCTACATAAAAGCAAACGGTCCGAAATCTGACATCTGCATAATCTTGTTGGGTCTTGTTCGACATGGTGTAATCGTCTGAGTGGAATCGGGTTTTTTCGGGGCAATTAGAGATACCGAGGAAATTATCAGACGGCATGAGCCGACGATTCCTCTACGGGAAAAGGGCTTTATGTTTAAGTGCTCGAATTGTAAATTTAAGAATAATGTGATATAACGAACTGTGGCAACTACTTTCCGCATCGTGAACACAATTAAATAAGTGGGTAGGTATGTGTATGTTATTATTAGGGAAAGTAATAATTTTCATGTTTGCACTCTCTGTTTGATCACTTGATGTGCTACACATGTTGTAATTTTAACATATGAACTTGTTGTAGAGTAAAAATTTATTAAAATATCTAAAATATACTCGTAATTAAGTAAAATTAGAAAAAAAGTCTTTCGGTTATAAATTTAAAACAATGGTTTTTATGTTATGTATTATTATATATTATTACCTCATTACCTTATTATGTCTTGTTGTTAAACTGGTCTTTGACAATATGCAAACATTAAACATGGAGTCAATCTGTACTTATATTTACAGGAAGTGAAGGAAGTTAGAGACAAAGTGGTAATGAGTAGTAAAGAGACAGAAAGAGAGAAAAGGGATAGAGAAGTAGAGTCGCCGAAAGAGACCGAGCAGGTCTTCCAAAGAAGCAAAATAACAGTAAGATCAAGAGATATAGAGATGGAGAAGGTCAAGAAGATGATCAGCGAACTTGCGACACAAATCAGAGATGATATGAGAGAAAGTAATAAACAATTATTGAAGGAATGGAATACACAGCTTAAAGAGAAGCTTAAAACAATAAGAGCAGAATTAAAGAAAGCAAGAGATCAACTACAGGAGCAAAATCAAGAAATTAGAGATAAGCATGAAGAATGGAAGCAAGCTAAGGAGGAAATGGGAAAGAGAGTGGGTGAAGCAAAAAATCAACTAGATCGAATGGAGAGAGAAAAGAGAAGAAACAAAGTAGTGATAATGGGATTGGAAATAGGAACAGGAAAGGAGAAGAAGATAATTGAAAAGGTGACAAAATTTTTAGAAGAGAAAGCCAAAGTAGAGAGTAAATTTAAAAGCGCGTACAAAATTGCAGAGAAATTTTATGTAGTGGAATTCGAAAATAGAGAAGAAAAAGCAAATGTAATGAAAAGCAAGAAGAACTTAAAAGGGTCGTCAATTTACATAAATGATGATCTGACGAAAACGGAAAGAAAAATTCAAATCAAAATAAAAGAAGAAGCAACAAAGGAGAGAAATAAAGGAAAAATGGTTAGAATGGGACATAAAAAGTTAACTGTAGATTACAGAAATTTTGAATGGAATGAAGAAGAGGGCAGAGTCAAGAAGATAGAAAATTTTTAGTAAAGAGCCAAAAGAAAAGGAAGAAAAGGAGAAAAAATGAATGGAAACAACGCAAAGGAAAAGGAATAAAGGATGTATATAGGGAAATCGGAAAAAAGGTACAAAATTCAAAGAAAAAAAGGGAGAAGGTACTGTTTTGGAATGTCCAAGGGTTGCGAAACAAGGAAAAGGAGTTCGGGGACTATGTGGGAAAATTTGATGTGGAGGGACCAGTAGAGACATCGGTACAAAGAGAAAACTGGGAGAAATTTGAAGAAACACTACCACAAGAATATGTGTGGGAGTATTAAGGGGCGACAAAGGAAAAGAAAAAGGGGAGAGCAAGCGGAGGAACAGTAATGGGAATTCGAAAAGAAGTGCAAGAATTGGAAAAGAGAAATAATAATAAAAACGGACTAATGAAGAAAGTAATACAGCTGGATAACAATCGATGGAAATAATAATCCTTTATAGCAAGAAAATGGAGGAAACTAGGATAAATATAGAAAAGGAAACAAAAGAAAAAGGAGATGAAAAATACTTATAGGAGGAGATTTTAACGCAAGACTGGGCGATAAGGGGACAAGAATAATAGATAAAGAAAAGGGAGAGAAAAGAGGATCAAGGACAAAGCAAATAACAAAGAAGGGAAAGTATTGTTGAAGATAATAGAAGAAATGGGATGGAAAATTTTGAATGGAAACAAGGAAGGAGATGAAAAAGGAGAATAGACGTGCGCAGGGGCTAGGGAAGAATCAATTATAGACTATGGGATTGCCAACGAAGATGCGTGGGAAGAAATAGAGAGTTTCAAAGCTGGGGAAAGGATAGAATCAGACCACATGCCACTAGAAATTAAAATCAAAGGAAAATAGCAAGAGTACGAAAAACAAGCGAGAAAAAAGAAAAGAAAGAAATAGAAAAAATAATATGGGATGAAGAGGGAATTCAAAGATACAGAAGTAGACTAGAAACAAGAAATTCCAAATAAAATGAGATATAGAAGCTATGATAGGAGAACAGATCAACTTAATTGTAGAAGCTACGGAAAAAAGAAAGATACACATATGGCAAGGGAGGAATAATGGATGGAACGGAGAATGTAGTGAGTTGAAGATAAAAGCAAGGGAAAAATTAAGAAAATGGAGGACTAACAGGGGAAGGAAAGAAGTGTACTTAAAGGCAAGAGAGAATTATAGGAGAAAATGTGAAAAAGAAAAAGAAAAAATGGGAAGAAGAAGAGAAGAAAATAAAGTCCCTGAAAACAGAAGAAGAAGTATGGAGATATATAAACTAGGAACGGAGAAGGAGGACTGAAGTCAGTAGGAAAATCAAAATACATGAATGGAAAAGACACTAACTTTATGGAATTATAGGGAGGTTGTGAGGAAAAATACTGCAAAATAAATAAAGGAATCACAACAACGGAAGAAATGTGGAGAGGTTCGGAAAGAAGAGAAGATGGAATAGGAAGACAGATTGAAAGACTGAAAAGAGGAAAGGCACCAGGAGGGGATGGAATCCAGAACGAAGCGTGGATGTTCGTGACAGAAGGAGTGAAAGAAAGGATATCGAAAGTGGTAGATGGAGTTTGGAAGGGAAAAGGGTTTCCTCGGCAGTGGAGAGAAGGTATAATAATCCTATTATTTAAAAAAAGAAATGAAAGCAATGATTAAAAGTTTCGAGAAGTACGTACAAAAAAAGGAATTGGAAGTAAATACGCCGGGGTATATAGTGAGAGAAGAAACAAAAAGGGAGAAAAGGAGAGTGGAAGCGAGGAAAAGGGAGGTTGGATTTGAAGAGAAGTTTAGTGGGAGAGGTAATTGTAAAATATTGCAAGAATGTTGGAAAGAAAAAAGAAAGGAAGGGAGAAAACATGTTTGGAACGAACGAAACAAGTATTATGAAAGAAAGGGATATGCATGTGAAGAAATAGAGAGAATGAGAGAAATGGGAAAGAGTATGAAAGAAGAACTGAGTGTAAGAGATAAGGATATAGACAAGCAAAAACGCAGATCGAGAATATCGGAGTCTAGATATAATGCAGAGTATAGAAAAATAGTAAAGAATGAAGTACCAAAGTACATACAGAGAGAGAGTATAAAGACGAAAAGAATGATGGCGAGATTTAGGTGTGGAAATGAAGGGAACGAGAATAATTTTTGGAAAGTTAAAACACGTTTAAAGTGGTAAATGCTTGTAGACAAATATGAATCCTCCAATTAAGTCCCGTCCCTTGATCAGACAACGAATGAGAAATTCATCACAATTGAGAATTATTGGTGGGGCCTAATCTTTGGCTTTATTTTTTTCTTAATATGCATAGTATTCTTT